GAATATTAATGAGTTTTATAAGATGATATGATGTTTTCCTTGTAGTGTTTGGAAACACAGGTCTTCATATGATTCTTAAGGGATCAGTTGTACCTCAGACAAAACCCTCCCTCTCACCTGTCAGCTCACCGTCCAGAGAGTTTCGGTCACCAACACCGATTTTTGAAGACCAGGAGCTAAAAAATCAAAATATGGTAGGTTGAAAATGCAGTGTGTGCTAAATTTATTTGGACTAAACATGTTTCTCAAGTGTACAATTTGCCTCAATTTCTTGTTCAACAGATTTCTGTTGGCAGCTGTTTTGGAACATTGAAGAAAGTTGAAGGCAGAGAGCCCAATACAAGGTGAGATAAACTAGCTCTCCAAATGTTGTTGCTAATTCACATTTATACCTGTATTTGTAAGTGTTTTAATTGCCATCTATCTTTTTGGGAAAGTGAATTGTGGTTTAAGTTGTTCAGAATCAGCTTTATTTTCAATGTTAATCTCTGAAAATAATTAAAGCAACATACCGATTCATATTTAATTTTTCCAGAGTGCTATCTGTGATAACATTAGAACCATGTGAGTTTCTGAAGATATCGACCCATGATTATGGACGGGTCATACAGGTGAGAATAACTCGAAGCATATAGTACTGCATGCACACTTCAAATGCACATGCTTAGTTTCTTCCTTGGCTCTAACATTCCCTATATTGATCACCCTATTGTGCATGCTTTGATTTAACAAAAAGAAGAGAGCTCAGGCTTTCTTATACTCTGTTAAAAATAAAAAGTAAAGGTGAAGGAAGCATAGGCTTTTTAGGACATCTTTGTTTGGTCACAACTGGTGAATTATTCACATATTTTCACTTTTATCAGATGATGAATTCACGTGAGGAAGAGCAGAAACTTTCCTTGGCACAAACCTGTAAACTGTTYCACAGCTGGCCAAAGTTGCCACTTAAAAAGGTCTCTGGACTCATTAAATGGAGACGGTTTCTACCTGGACAAGGTATACCAACACATTCATATTTTTTGCTGCCAACATTCCATCATATCTTCTTCATCTTTTCAATCAATCCATCATTCCCTAATCACCCATTTGTCATTGATTCCTTTTTTTTATTTAATGTTCTCAGTTCTTGTCAAGGAAGGTGAACGATGTGAAATAATCGGTTTCATCAAAAAGGGTGTTTGCATCTTAAGAAGGATGATTACAGTTGCACACACTTTTCCAAATGGAAAAAAGGTAAATAACTACTTAGCGTGGTATCAGGATAAAGAAAAAAAGAAAGAAAAAAGTTGAGCCTTCCATTCAACAGGATCCTATATGTAAGGGTTTCCAAGTTTTCAAGTTCTAATTTTGTGAGCCTGTTTTGGAGTTAGAGCACATTTATTGACCTTTTCTGATGTCTAGTTTTATCATCCTCAAAATCATTGAAAATGAGTGTGTTTACCAAAAATGGCCTCGAGTGACAGCCCCAAGATTTCTTCAAACTGGCTTTTCAGCTCGTTTGCATAAATAATTTTTTTTCGTGTACAAATCTGGGAATTCCTCAAAGTATTTTGATATATTTTGTTTGAAAATATCCACGTCTAATTTTGTGAGGCGATTTTGGTTGAGTTAGAGGCCATTTATTGACCATTTTTGACGCCTAATTTTATCATCCTCAAAACCAATGAAAATGTGCGTGTTACCAGACTTCAAACTGGCTTTTTAGCTCGTTTGCATAAATACTTTTTTCGCGTACAAATCTGGGAATTCCTCAAAATATTTCGACATATTTCGTTTTAAAAAATCAAGTTCTAATTTTGTGAGGCGATTTTGGTTGAGTTAGAGCCCATTTATTAACCTTTTCAGACGCGACTGATTTTATTTATCATCCTCAAAATCATTGAAAATGCGCTTGTTTACTAAAACATGAGTTTGAGTGACAGCCCAAGACATCAAACTGGCTTTTCAACTCGTTTGCATAAATAAATTTTTTTCGTGTACAAATCTGAAAATTCCTCAAACTATTTCGACATATTTCGTTTGAAAATATCCACGTCTAATTTTGTGAGGCGATTTTGGTTGAGTTAGAGGCCATTTATTGACC